TATATATATATATGTATGTATGTCACTGGATTTGTTTCTCAAGTCAACCCGGTCTAGCACCACCCCCCTCATATTTCATAGATGCCAGGAAAACCAAGTAAAAGGTACACCCAACTAAACACAAAAGTGAAGTCTCTTTTGCAATAATGAAATACAATATTAATATATAACCAACCTCTGAAAAAGGATGAAAACATGAAATAGAAAATTCAATTAAGGGATGGATACTTTGTTATCAGAAATTAAAAATATGTATAGTTAACTGATAACATTTCTCAATAATGTATCATGTGCCAGTAATGGCTGTTGTAGTTGTCTGCCACTGAGCCAGCTCCTAATGAAACAATACCCCATCCTCAAGTTCATTTGTACATTTGAGTCCATCGTCTGGCTCTTGTGCTAATTCAGCTCATTGAGGTTGCCTACGTTTCCACCAACCGTCTACTTTATCAAGCATGATGTCTTTCCTGATGTGTAAATAAGCAAGCCAAAGTCTTGCCATCTGAAGAGCATTCTAGTTTTATTTCTTTTAAGATGGATTTCTTCTTTCTTCCAGTAAACCCTGGTATTATTCACTACCCTGATAATTCAAAGCTATCTATTCTTTTCTAGTTATCCTAATTCATTGCCCTGCTTCCATATACATATGAAGAGACTGCAAATACCATGGCTTGGGCCAGGCTCCCTACTCCTCAAAGTGAAAATGTTGCCTTTGAACACTTTAAAGAGGTCTTTTGCCTTAGGTATATTCAATGCAATCTAAGTCCTTTGATTTTCTGACTCCTGCTTCTATGGGCATTGATGGTGGATCTAAGTAAAATGAAATCCTTGATAACTTTAATCTTTTCTCCTTTGACAATGATGTTGATTATCAGTCTAATTGTGAGGATTTGTGTTTTCTTTATACTCAAGTGTAATATGTACGTACTGAAAACTGAACTCTTTGACCTTCACCAACAAGTGCTTCAAGACATCCTCTAATTTATTCTTTTTTTTTCCCATGAACAATTTTCATTTTATTTTCTAATTTATTCTTCATGTTAAATCACTAAAGTATTTTCCCAATATATATTAATAAAGTATATAGAGACTTAGAAAACTTATGCTATGTACCAATGACCTCAAGTTTCCATGTTGAAATACAAATACAGAAGGCTTCTAGTGTTTATAATCTTAATCAGTGTGCTAAAACACATAGCTATAGCCTAAAATTATATCAATTTTTAAAGATTTTTTTTCTAAGCTGTGGCTCTCAGTAGTTTGACTAGACACTGTGGGCAAGTTTGCATTTATTACCTTCATCTCCTTCCTCCTCTTCTGGAACTCCAAAAACCTGTATACTCGGCCATTATTATTGATCCAGAGTACCTGAAAGTTCATTTATTTTTTATTCCCCCCCTCTGTTTTTCAGATCGAATAAATTGTATTGTTCTATCTTAAAGCTCATATACTAAGTCCTCTGTCATGTCATGCTCTGCTAGTAAACCCGTCCAGTAATTTTAAATTTCAGATTCTGTATTTTCTATTCTAAAGCTGTCACATGATTTTGATATTTTCCA